AGTAATCAAAACAGTATGGTGGCACAAAAACAGACACACAGATCAATGGAACAGAACAAAGAGCCCAGAAATAAACCCATGCACATGTGGTCAATTAATCTATAACATAGGAGGCAAGAATATACAATGGGGAAAGGACAGTCTCTTCAATAAATGGTGTCTGGAAAGCTGGACAGCCACATGCAAAAGAATGAAACTAGACCACTATCTTACACCATACACAAAAATTAGCTCAAAATGGATTAACGACTTGAATGTAAGACCTGAAACCATAAAACTCCTAGAAGAAAACATAGGTAGTAAGCTCCTTGACATTGGTCTTGGTGATGTTTTTTGGATCTGACTCCAAAGGCAAGGGCAACCAAAGCAAAAATAAACAAGTGGGAGTGCACCAAACTGAAAAGCTTCTGCACAGTGAAGGAAACCATCAACAAAACGAAAAGGCAAGCTACTGAATGGAAGAAGATATTTGCAAGTCATATATCTGACAAGGGGTTAATATCCAAAATATATAAAGAATTCACACAACTCAATAACAAAAAAACAAACAAACTGATTTAAAAATGGGCAGAGGATCTGAACAGATATTTTGCCAAAGAAGACATACAGATGGCTAACATGTGTATGAAAAGATGCTCATCACTAATCATCAGGGAAATGCCAATCAAAACCACAATGAGATATCACCTCATACCTGTCAGAATGTCTATTATCAAACAGACAAGAGATAACAGGTGTTGGCAAGGATGTGGAGAAAGGGGAACACTTGGTGGGAATGTAAATTGGTGCAGCCACTATGGAAAACAGTATGGAGGGTCCTCAGAAAATTAAAAATAGAACTACCATATGATCCAGCAATTCCGCTTCTGGGTATATATCTGAAGAAAACAAAAACACTAATTCAAAACAATATATGCACCCCTGTATTCATTGCGCTATTACTTACAATAACCAAGATAACGAAACAGCCTAAGTGACCACTGAAAAATGAACGGATAAAGAAAATGTGGTATATATCCAATGGAATACTACTCAGCCATAAAAAAGAATGAAATCTTGCCATATGCGATAATATGTATGGACCTTGAGGGAATTATAATAAGTGAAATAAGTCAGACAGAGAAAGACAAATACCACGTGATTTTACATATATGTGGAATCTAAAAAACAAAACAAACAAAACAAACAAAACAAAACAAAACAAAACCCAGACTCATAGATACAGAGAATAGATTGGTGGTTGCCAGAGGGGAGAGGGGTCGGGGGAATGAAGTAGGTGAAGGGGATCAAGAGGTACAAACTTCCAGTTATAAAATAAATAAGTCATGGGGATGTGTTGTACAGCATGGGGAATATGGTCAATAATACTGTGTTAACTTTGTATGGTGACAGATGGTAACTAGATTTATTGTGGTGATCAGTTCACAATGCATACAAATGTCAATTCACCATGTTGTACACATGAAACTAATATAATCTTGTTTATCAATTATACTTCAATTAAAAAAAGAAAGGAGAGGAGATCCCTTATTTTCAGTTTTTTATTCACAATTTGATGTGTGGTCCTCCAGAGGATAGGACTAGTAGTTCCATTATTTTTGAAAATATTAGGATAGAATCCAAGAAATTAAGAAAAACACTGTAATATTGAAATTGAATTGAAAATATTCAAATAAATCCATGATTAAATAGTGTATTAATTATCTATTGCTATATAGCAATATTACCACAAACTTAGAGGCTTACCACAAGCCACGTTTACGATTTCCCACTTTCTGTGGGTCAGGAGCCTGGGATGGCTTAGCTAGATGCTCCGCTTCAGGGACTAACAAAGCTTCAACCAAGGTGTTGGCTGGGGCTGCAGCGGCATCTGCTTCCAACCTTATGTGGTTGTTGGCAGCTTTTCATTTTCACGTGGTTGTTGGCAGCAACTGTTCAGGCTGCTGGACTGAGGGCCTCAATTTCTTGCTGGCCATCAGCCAGAGGCTGCCCTCAGTTCCTTGCCAAGTGTCCCTCTCTGTAGGCAGCTTATAGCATGGCAGCTGGCTTCTTTAAAGCCAGTAAGGGAGATAGTCTCCTTGCGAGACTGGCATTAGTCATACATTCTATAATCTTCTATATGCAATCATGCACATCCTGTCACCTTTGCCATGCACTACGACTAGAAGCAATTCATGGTTCCTCCCACTTTCAGGAGGAGGGGAGCACAAAGAAGCATGAACATCAGGAGGTAGGGATCATGGGGGCCACCCTAGAGTCTGTCTGCCACAATATGTATATTTTTCTAGCTCTGTCCATTGAAATGGCCTAAAAGCAACGTCACTCCCATAATAATGAACACCCCTAATGCTCAGGTTGTAGTCTCTGAAAACCACTCCCCATTAAAGGGAAGCTGAGCCATTTTTTTTCTTCTTCTCCCCAAAGCCCCCCAGTACATAGTTGTATATTCTAGTTGTAGGTCCTTCTAGTTCTGCTATGCAGGACGCCGCCTCAGCATGGCTTGATGAGTGATGCCAGGTCCGTGCCCAGGACCCAAACCAGTGAAACCTCGGGCTGCACAAGTGGAGCATGTGAACTCAACCACTTGGCCACAAGGCCGGTCCTGGAAGCTGAACCTTCTGGAGAAATAGCTTATTGCAGGGCTGGGACAGGAAAAGTACAAGAAGAGTCAGGGATATTTTGTTGTGCTAGATATCACCAAAGTTCTCAAAGATCAATGGAGTCATGTTCCACTGGCCACAGTCGTGACATTTAGGGCATCATAAAGACTAATGGGGCAATGAATCGAAACAGATGGAATCTACAAAAATCCATGATTTAACAATGATGTTCAAAATAGAGAAAATCTGAAAATTTTTGTCACCATTTGAGGCAGCTATTAAAGCAACTACTTACTATGAAAATTGGTAGTTAGTAGTAAAGAATTAAGCATTTTATCCTGCCTTTCCAGTAGAATCTGTATTTCAGGTAACCAAATATCCCCAATAGGTGAGAGAAAGCTCTACTTCACAGAAGGATGCCAATTAGTAAATGTAGAAGAGATGATAGATTTTGAAAAACATCACTTCACAAACTTTATTGAAATTACCGTGACCATTATCCTCGTCATAATGATTATCAATTGGTGTTAAAATGGATGAATGGCATTGGGTATTTTTAAAATGCAAAAGTAACAACGGTCACTTCCTAGTTTCAGGGCAAAAATATAACTGTACAATGGAGGGATTAGGAGTCATCACCTTAATCCAGAAATCAATCTTAACATCATTAATGGATTAACCACATATTATGTGTCTTTTGATGCAATTCAACATGAATACTCATCACCTATAGAGTATTCTAGCCAAAAATGTTTAATAAAAATGTTACAGGAAAAATAACGAACAGGGAATAACAAATAGAAGAACAAATTAAACAGCCCCAAAGGTAGTAACTAAACAAACCCAGAAGGTGGCACATTCCTCAGAACAACTGTAGGACCATCTCTTCAATAGCCAACATCAGAACGAAAGGAACCTAATAATCAGATGCTATATGTGGTCCTCGAACAGATCCTGATTTGGACCAAACAACTGTTAACGGCATTTTTGTGTCATTTGGGACATTTTTAACATAGTCTAGGTATTTGATGAAATGGACAGATGGAGTTTTTTGACTTAAAAGAGCAGGTTATAAAATAGCTTGCACACTGTGATCCAAAAAGTACGCGCACACATTATAGTACAGGGAAAGGTCTGGAACTACAGGTACTAAGGTGCTAACAGTGGTGGATCTCTGCGTGGGAGAATGTTTACAGTTTCCTATTGTTGCTGTAACAAATTACCACAGATTTAGTGGCTTAAAACAACACAAATTTATTCTCTTACAGTTTTGGAGGTCAGAAGTATGCAACGAGTCTTATGGGACTAAAATCAAGGTGTCTGCAAAGCTGGTTCCTTTTGGAGGTTCCGGGGGAGAATCCATTCCTTGTCTCTTCCAGCTTCTAGAGGCTGCGAGCACTCCTTGGCTGCATCACTCCAACATCTGCTTCTATCGTCACGTCGCCTTCTCTGCTTTCTCACCCTCCTGCTTCCCTTCTATAAGGACCCTGTGATTACATTGGGCCCACATGGGCAATCCAGGATGATCTTCCCATCTCAAGATCCTTGACTTAGTCACATCTGCAAAGTCCCTTTCGCCACGGAAAAGGCTTCAGGGATCAGGTTGGGAGGGGTGGTTTCAGAGATTTTGAGGAGGGCCATTATTCTGTCTACCACAGAATGGGATGTTTTTACTTTTTATTTTTGTCTATGCTTTGTAGTTTTATGTGATACGTATATATTACTTAAAATGTATATACTTAAAATATATGTTAGAAGTAGAAAAATATTGTAGTTTAATATCAAATGACATGAAATGTGGTTATTTATGAACTTTTATTTGGCTTCCTGTGAAGCTTGAGTTTCACATCCAGTTATTTTCTTACATTTTATTTTTACTAAATCGGACAATTCCAATTCACAATTATATGTTGCCAGAAATGGCAGCAAGTGTTTGGTAAGTGGGTCAGAGACTTTTGTATATTGGATGGAACAAGGACCCATAAATTGAGAAGTCCTTTCTTCCATTCAGTGCTGCCCCTAGAGACTCGGTGGATGAACGATGAAACTCAAATTCTGCAAGGTTGAATGTTTCACCTAGGAGTGTGGGTCTCACTGGGGCAGTACCATGGGTCTGCTTTGAAAACACCTGGGGCTATTTTGGTTGTTACAGTGATTGACAGGAATCCCCTGGCAGGGATCTCCTGGCAGTTAGTGGGCAGGAGCCAAGAATGTCATATGTCCTTCAATGCATGTGACTTTCTTACAAGGATGAATTTTCCTACATCTTACCCAATTTTCAAATGTCCCCTTAGACATTCATGTGTATGAAAAACCTATTTGTAATTATCTGAGCCTAAACCTAACCTCATTTCACACGTAAAGTCAAAGTACTTTTTTCCTTTTCTAAAATTTATTTTAAAAAATATAGTATGCTTTTGCAAATTTGTATGTCACTCTTCTGGGGCCATGCTTATCTTCTCTGTATAATTCCAGTTTTAGTGTATTGCTGCCGGAGTGAGCATAACTCAGGGTATTTTTGCATGGTTTTAATATCCTGGAATTTTCCAGGAACAGAACTACTGTGTAAATTGAAAGGAGTGTGTGTTGTTTTGTTTGGAACTTTACCAAGAATGGTTTAATGTTTTAGAAAATCACACAGATGACATCAATGCCATTTATGGGCTGTGCTGGATATCTTCCATTTGCCCTTCCAGATTCACTCCACCCTCTCTACCTCCTCTGCGCCCTGGGAAGGGACTGTATCAACAGATTTCCTTGCCCTCCAGCTTCTGGGTCGGTTCACTCAATAGAAAGCATGGGCAGGAGATCTGGAAGGTGAAGGGAGAATGAGCTATGCTACCTGAAATGACCATCAGGAACTAGATGTTATCTGATCCATGGAAACATAAAATTGGATATGACGACAGTATTCCATTAGAAAACGATAATGTTACATACATAGTCGAGCCCAGCTGGTCAGAACGCACAAGTCAACTGCATGAAGAGGAGTTTTAAACTCCCATGGGACTTGCTCCCACTGATTTACTTCTCCCTTAACCCACATTTATGGCTTCCCAGAGAGTTCTTTATAATGGGTTAACAGAAAAAGAGCACAGGCCTGGTTTATGCACAGTTTGCTGGCACCAGCTAAAAAAGAATAATAGCTGCATTTTAGCCCCCAAAAGACAGTGGTGAAGGAATATATATTCTTAGGGGCAAAACTCTGGGCAGTGTATCTTATTGTCCATTTCATGTGGAAAGAGAGATGATCTATTTTCTCTCTGGGCATAATATTGTTGGGAGATACAGTCTGTCACAGCCTAGAGTGTCCTTACGTGTTCTTGTTTCGTGTGCCAAGAATGCAAGGAAGTTACCTGGGCCATTCTCAGGGCTGTATTTGCAGGGAGCTCCCTTGAGGGATGAGGTGATAGCTCCTTCCGGGATAAAGAGCAGGCTTACTATAAAAGATGTGAATTCCCCAAGGCCAGTGTTCCCCAGCTGTCAAATGTGCATTGTGTATACAGTGTGTCCCCCTGGGACCCTCCGCATGGCCCCTGTGGGTCTTGGGGACTGGGGAACCCATGCAAATAGGCTGATGATGCTCATGCTGCTTACTGTGCTGCTGACATCCAGGAAATGGTAGCAGGCTAACTCATTAGCTTGTAAGTAGGAGAAAATCCCACATCCCCACAAATGTTTGGTATATACTTTACAGCTGGTTTTACGAGCCTTTTGGCTATTATGTGACTTGTCCCTGATTGTGCATTGAGGGGTGCAATTTGGAATTATTCCTCTGTAGTTTTGGTCCTTTAGGGAAAAATTTTTCCACTTTTCTGTTTGAATGACTTTTTTCTTTGTTCAGGCAAAATTCCACTGGCAGAGGTGTCACGGCACATCTGTTGGAAAAAACAGGTAAGTTTTAACGATTTCATGAAACTTTTCACAAAGTTTCATAGCAAACAGTACTAAGAACTAGGGGTGAATCGATTGCCAATATAATAAGGCAGAAATTCAAACATTTATTATGTTTTCTCTATTCACACAGTAGATGGATAATACTACATGCTCATATTCCGATTGTTTATAATTCTATTTTGCCCCTTTCCTTTCCGTAGTAAGTTTTAATATTTTTAGGTCTCTATTTCTCTTAGTTCTAAATAATGGAATTTCAGCATGTGGTCTGGAAAACCACAGACCCCCCTAACGGCTGGTGTAAGAAATCCCAGCAACAGTATAAGAAGATGATTTTCTGGTTTCTTAAAACGTCCTTGAAAATGTTATTTCTAACAAAAGGGATCTTGTAAGATATCTGGAACTCAGAACTTATGGCTTGTTTTGTGAATGTAACCTTGGCCTTAAAAAGCTTGTAACTCTTGTTGTTTGTGTTACTTAATAATGTGTTTCCCTGGTAATGATATTTAAATTGACATCTCCATGTCCTAAAAACTATGAATACCTATGAGTTTTCTTCAATAGACAAGTGAATTGAAAATATATGTACACACAGCAACTTGTATGCAAATGTTTACAGCAGCTTTATTCATCAAAAACTGGAAACAACCAGATATCCTTCAACAGGTGAACGGATAAACAAACTGGTATATGCATACAGTGGAATACTAGTCAGCAGTAAGAAGGAAAGATCTATTGATTGACTCGACAACATGAATGAATCTTTTTTTTGTGGTAAAATATACGTAACATAAACATGGATGAATTTTTCTTTTTTTCTTTCTTTTTTTTTTTTTCTTTGCTGAGGAAGATTAGCCCTGAGCTAACATCCATGCCAATCTTTCTCTATTTTTTAGTATGTGGGCTGCCAGCTCAGCATGGCCACTAATAGAGTGGTGTAGGTCCGCGCCTGAGAACTGAACCTGGTCCTCTCAAATGGAGCATACTGAACTTAATCGCTAGGCCACTGGGGCCAATCTAAACATGGAAGAATCTTAAATGCATTTTGCCAAGTGAAAGAAACCAGACTGCAAAGACCCAATAGTATAGTATGATTCCATTCACATGACACTTTGAAAAAGGCAAAACTATAGAGATGTGTATTAGTTTCCTATTGCTGCTATAAAAAATTACCACAAACTTAGTGACTTACAACAATACAAATTTCTTCTCTTATAGTTCTGGAGGCCAGAAAGTCTGAAATCAGTTTCACTGGGCTAAAGTCAAGGTGTTGCAGAGCTGGTTCCTTCTGGAGGTTCTAGGGAAGCATTCGTTTCCATGACTTTTCTAGCTTCTGGAGGTCACCTGTATTCCTCAGCTTTGTGACTCCTTTTTCACATTACTCCAGCCTCTTGCTTCCATCCTCATATCTCTTACTACCTCCTTTGACTTTCTTGCTGCCCTCTTTTAAGGGCCCTTGTGATTACATTTAGGGCCTACTTGCATAATCCAGGATAATCTCCCCATCATGAGATCCTTGACTTAATCACACCTGCAAAGTCCCTTTTGCCATATGATGTGACATTCCCCAGTTTGGGGGGATTAGGACATGGATATCTTTTGGGGTCATTATTCAGTCTACCACAGGACAGAAAGCAGATCAGTGGTTGCCAGGGATGGGGGAGAGGGAAGGGTTGAGTAACATAATGGGCTGCAAAGGGTGGTGGTGGATTCATGACTCTACAGTTGTCAAAACCCATAGAGCGGTACACCACCAAGAACGACTTTACTGTACGCAAAATTTTAAAAAATCAACCCAATTGTCAGTGATCCCAGTGTAGACTGCAGATTGTGACAAAAGAATCTAATTGTATTAGAAAACGTATGATATAACTTCACTGAAGAGGATAGGAGAAAAAATTGCTAAGTAACTTTGAAAAACAATGTTTTAAAGTATAGAATAAATGTCATGAGGATGTAATGTACAGCATGATGACTGTAATTAATAATACTGTATTATATATTTGAAAGTTGCTAAGAGAGTAGATCGTATAAGTTCTCAACACAAGAAAAAAATTCTGTAACTATGTATGGCGATGGATGTTAACTAGACTTGTGGTGATCATTTCACAGTGTACACAAGTATTGAATCATTATGTTGTACACCTAAAATTAACATAACATTGTATGTCAATATACCTCAATAAAAAAAGAAACAGTATTTTGACTAGACAATAGAGTTAAAAAGAAAAACAGTGATTTAACTAGATAATGACAGAAAGAACTGTACATAAATACTCTACCTGGTAGATACAGAGATATAGAGATGCATGTTTACATAGGGTAGTGTACTTAGATATATTTCCTGGCTCTGATTGCTGAGATGGCCTAGAAGCAGTGACATCCCTGAAGTCATGAGCACAGCTTGCATCCAGATCTTTGTTTCTAAATACCATTCTCCAATAAACAGGACCAGGGCTCCTTCAAGAAATGGCTGATTCTAGGGCTGGGGCAGAGAAGATACAAGAAGAGTGCAGAACATCTAGTAGGACCAGAAGAAAAGGACAATAGGAGCCTGCACCGGCCTCTCCAGACCCCTGCTGTGAGTCAAATGCTGTGATATACATATTCTGACTTCCATGCTCTTGCTCTAGTGTGTCCTTTCTCTGTAACAAACTGTAGATTTGTAAGCTTCGTCATTTTGGGTCCTATGAGTCTTCTTTAGCAATTGAACCCCGTTTAAGTGCCACCGTCAGAGAAGCTATGTTTTAATTTTTGTAAATGTTGCATGAGCACTAGGGAAAAAAAAGGTATATTGTCTAGTGTATATGTTTCTTTCCAGGAAATTATTAAGCAAGACTTATTAATCATATTATTAAGTGATTATCCTTCATATTTGGCTTTATACATCTCAATGTCACTTTTTTAATGTCAAATTCTACAAAATTTAAGTATTTTCATCTTTGATTTCTCTTCACTTGCATTTGTTTTATATATTTCCCCTTCCTTCCCATTAATCTTTTTGTTTCATTTTGTGCTTCGTTTAAATAACATAAAATTGAATTCTTTTTTTTTTTGGAGGAAGATTAGCCCTGAGCTAACTACTGTGAATCCTCCTCTTTATGCTGAGGAAGACTGGCCCTGAGCCAACATCCATGCCCATCTTCCTCTACTTTATACGAGGGACACCTGCCACAGCATGGCTTGCCAAGCGGTGCCACGTCTGCATGTGGGATCCGAACTGGTGAACCCCAGGCCGCGGAAGTGGAACGTGTGAACTTAACTGCTGTGCCACCAGGCTGGCCCCTAAAATTGAATTCTTAATCTAACTTATAAGTCTTAATTTTTAATAGGGGAGTAGATTCCATTTACATTTATCATGATCACTAATGCATTTGTTTTATCATTCATGTCATATTTTCCTATACTATTGTTAATGTTTCCTTATCATTTTTTATCTCTTTTATGATTTTTTAACTTGTTTGTTTTTCCCTTTTGAGTGTTTGCTTTTATCTTCTTCATTTCTTCGGAAGGCGTGTATATTCCTTTTGATACTGGTAAGTGTGACCTTTAAGTTTTTCAAAAGCATTCTATGGGTCTGGGGAAAGGTAATATACACAGTATTTCAGT